TCATTGTTGTTATTTATCAAAATTATTATCAGTGAAATCTAGTGTGATGAAATTTAGTGTCGATGAATTCTTCTCTTCGATGAAAACAGTGTCGGTCAAATAATATGGACTGCATTTTGTTCTGTTCTCTAGAGTCAATTCAATCAATTTGTATTCAGTTCAATTTGTTATCATTTCGCTGAAACATTTAGTAAACATTTTGGTATGAATAAAAATCTGGTACATGTTTTTTATGATATTTCGAAATAAATGAAAAATCATAAATATTATTTTAACTTATTATTATTGCAATATAAATTTTTATAAATTTGCAATATATGCAAAACTATATTATTGCAAAAATAATTTCTGTAGAGTTTTTTTAAGAAAATTAAGAAAATAAGAATTTTTTTAAGAAAATGGATAGAGCTGATCAAAAGAAATGCTTTATTAGTGAAAAAATAAATGCTTCTTGAATATTAGAGATAAAATTTTTTGAATTAATAATTTTTCTTTATTTTTAGATTCTGAAAAAATTAATTATGTATTTGGATATATTCATATTCGAAATTTAACATCCATGTTTTTTGATATTATAATTATTTCAAATTTGTGATAAACTTGTGTATGATATGTCATTTTATTAAAGACATATGTTATACATTGAAGTAATAAAAATAATATTTATTTAGAAAAAGAAATATATATTTATATTAGAAATATTATAAATATACATTATAAATTATACATTTATAATTTAATAAAATAAAATGCGAAATTGCACGTATTTTTAATAAATAAATTAAAATTAATAATAATTGTGTTTTGATTTCTATATTAATAATTGATTTTTTGAATAGATCAATTTCGTTCATTGCTTCCTATAATTTGTTAATCATATTGTATTGTTTATAATTGTTATAAATTTTCTTTGTCATCATTTTTCAAAAAAAGATTTTTTATTGAATTGAAATTTGGAAAACACGCTGATTATCTCAAAACCCTGATTATAGATACCCTTAGATAGATACAATCAACTCGCATAATCATATTTTGCTCGCATAATTTATTAAAAATCAAAAATTGAAAAGTTGATTAATCAATCACGATCTTCTCTAATTTAAATTAGATAAATACGATATTATAATAGTCATATTTAATTAGGAACCAATGAAAAAAAGAACGCTATTTATTAAAGTCTTTATTAATCTTTCTTTACATTTTTTTATAATATGATTTCTTTACAATATTTAAGAATTAATAAAAATAGTTTTTAACAAAATGTGCAATGCTTAGAAATCTTTGTCAATATTAATATAAATAATATTATTCTGTTTTCTAAAAAAAGTAGGTTACAGCAACTTCTTGTTCTTCTTTTTTCTTGTCAATCTTGTTCTGTGAAAAGTTTAAAATATTTTACAATAAAAAACTCTATGTCAAGCGTCAATTTCAATTTCTATTTCACAATAACTCTGATTCATCTATCACTGTGTCAAATAAATACTTCTATCTGAAAAAGACATATTAGATAATTCTATATTTACATGGCCTTCTTCGTGACCATCGTCTTTTCTCTCAGAGAGAAATCACGGAAAAATTCTGAGCAAGATAGCAATATCTGAAAGTTTGCTTTCTTGTCCTAAACTTCGTCGATTTGGTATTGGCCTTCCTTTTGACTTCTGAACCTTAAGTTTTTCTTTCTTCTTTAGATGAATAAAATTCTTTCTTAAAAGTAGATCTCCAGAAGGTTTCACTATAGGATTTTCTTTAAAAGAATAAAATATTTATTCGGTTAGTGTGCCTTTTAATATTATTTATAGACTTTATGAAAAATGATTATAATTTTTGGCGAACCAAAATTTTGCTTGATCGATATTATAATGTAGCTCTATTTATTTATGAATAATGAATGAATAATTTATATTATTATATGAATAATTTATTTACGATAAATTTAACAAAAATAATGATTATATATTAAGAAAATATTTCATGAATATTCATTTATCTAATAAATATTCAAACTTTTATTATATATTCAATGATCATATTCATTACTTCAGCTCGATCATAAAGATTGATTTGCATAAATAAAGCTAATCTGCATTGTCATAACAATATGAAGTTCGATGTAAATGATTTTTACGATTTTTACAATCTATACGATTTTATTATTCTACAACATTTATACGATTTAACAGATTTAGATCCAAAGCATATTTCTCTTTGTGATCGCAATATCTATTTTTATTTTTTCAATGAAAAAACTAGGAAAAATATGCGATTACAATGATATCATAAAAAAATCTCACTCAAAAATTTGCATCACATTTTAGAATGTGATCATGAAGCATCGATCTACAGCCATCATTTAAACAATCAAATTTACAGATTCAATTATATCTATAAAATAAAACCCACTTATAGATAATTTATAAATATAAAATATAAATTTACAAATGTATATATATATAAAATATTATTTTATATTTTGTATACTTATATTTATTATTTTTTTTTATTATTATATATAAAGATGAATATTTATAAAATATTTATATAAATAATATACGTAAATACATAAATAAATATTGTTATGATTTTCTTTGATGCATATTTTATTTATTACATTTTATATTCATAATTTTGTACAACAATATTGATTTAAATAACAATAATCATGCATGTTTATTCTTTAGATTTTTAGTGTTGATTTAACTTTTGAAATGAGATTTTTTGTTTCAATATTTATTTGCAAAAAGTAACTATCGAATACCATGAATTATATTTTGTTCGTCATCATATACATATATATATATAGTATTATATATATTATATTATATTATATTATATTATATTATATTATATTATATTATATTATATTATATTATATTATATTATATTATATTATATTATATTATATTATATTATATTACATTATATTATATTGTATTATATTGTTGTTATATTATATTGTATTATTTTTATATTACATTATATTGTATTGTATTATATTATATTATATTATGATAATTTTTATATAGCTAAAAGATGGAATAACTACTGGTCACATTGCAATTATTAATATTTTATGAAGTATTGGTAATTATATTTATTCATAACTTACAGCTGTAAAGAAAAAAAAAAGATTTAAGACATTAAATTTGAATTGTTCACAATTTGCAACAATATTGATAATTCAAAAAATAGCTATTTGATTGCATATGCTAGACAATGTTATTTTGTATTATATAATAATATATAATAATGACAGTCAATGATAATCGATGGTAATTGATAAATTGTTTGCAGTAATTATTTTCATTTTTATTTTATGATTAATTGTTAATAATTGATGATAGTTAATATTTGATAATAATAAATCTAATTAATAAATAAAATGATTTAAATTTTTGTTATGTTATCTTTATATTCTTAAATATCATTCAATGAAATGATTTATCATTTTATTCCATATCTATATTGTATATCAGCATCAAAATTGGAAATACATCTTTATAATATACAAAAAAAAAAAAATATCAATTTTTCTTCTAATAGAAATAAATCAATATCAAAACAATGCAATATTTCTAACCCAAATTAACTTAATTTCATCATGTCATTTTTTTGATGTGATAACAAAAAAATCTTCAAATGATGAATCACCTTATTTTTTGATAAATGATAACGTATCACGATATAATGTTTCTCGTTAATACTGATAATCAATGAAAATATGAAAATATGTATACAATATCTTAATATATTTTATTTGAACGAGATGCAATTTTAATCATGTATAAGTGAGAATTTTATTTTTTAATTATTTTTGAATTGAAGAAAAAATGCAATAATATTTAATAGCTTATTATATTATTATTGAAATTTCTGGTGAACCAAAAATTATATTTCTGTATGAAATATATGATTTACGCGATCAACGCGTTAAGTCGATATACTTAAATAATATGATATCGCTATTCTTGTTTAATGATGAGACTCTTGTATGTTTCGATAAATTTTCAAAAGTGAATTAAAAAAATTTACATTATAGTCTTATTGTCCGACAATTTGTTAAATAAAATAGAATTCTATTTATATGAACTTATCAAGATAAATATATTCATATTTATAGATATATGTAATTTATATAAACAAGCTATTTATGTAATAGAAATTGTTCATTTAATTAATTCCTTCATAAGTTATGATTTCTCATTCAATTAATAGGAGTTCATGTTTATATAATAGAAATTCATGAAAACTTTTTTCTAAACTGTATAATAATATTAAGTATTATAAATTTAGAAATATATATAAGTTAAATGATGTTTATTTAAAGTTCAAGTAATCAGATATAATCAGATATTAAATTTATATAAAATAAATTCAATTGTATATTTAATATACTAATTACTATACTGATTAATATACTTAGCATATTATATAATAATATATTATATTATATTATATTGTATAAATATTATATTGTATTACCAATGATTATAAAATATAATATATTATGATAATAATAAATATATGTATACAAGTATATTTATATTATATGTGTATATATAATATATTAAATTAATATATAATATATGTATATAAAATTAAATATTAATTTTTAAATAGAAACTTACATAGTTTTGATATTTATAAAAACAAAAAATTTGATTAATATATAAGAAAAAATATATATAAACTACAAATATTTTAAAAAATTAAAAATAATAATTGCTTTAATAAGATTTTATATTTTGTTATAATGATGAATATATAATAATGAATTTTTTAATAATGATAAAAAAATAAATTTTCATTATTTACATAACAAAATATATATTTTTTTTTGCAGAAATATAAATATGAATGACAATTAATTATATATATATATATATATATGTATATGTATATGTATATGTATATGTATATGTATATGTATATGTATATTTCTGGTGTTTTAACTCAAATGAAATTTTAGACATTCAGGCAAAAAAATACAGAAAAAATAATCATATATTGCAGTAATTTTTTATTTGCTTCATAATATTTATAAATTAATTTAATACCAGCACTTCGTAATTTCTCAGTGAGATTTCTCTGCCTTCATAAGGTACGTATATTACTCCGTGACTTCTATGTACCTATAAAGAAATATTTAATAGAACTGAGATATACAATAAATCCAAATAAAGAGGAAAGATATCTTTTATTTGAATGTTTAAAAACGGAAAATGAAATTATAAGAAATTTTATATATCATAATCTCTAAATGATATATTTATGATTCATAATATAATTTGTATTATATGACCTTTATGTATTATAGAAATAATCATCGATTGGTTTAAAATAGAATTTATGAGCTTAATTATAATTACAAAAAAATATTATTTAGAATATGTATAAAACTTAATACGAAACATCAAAACAAATTCTATTTAAAGCTTCATTTTTTTATGTGAAATATAGAAGGATATAAAAACCTTTTGTCAGTTCGTAATAATTATTTATAAAAGAATTCTTCTTATTGATTTCTTATAATGTCTTTTTTATAATATCTCGAATAATTTTTCCTTATACATATGTTTTTCAGTCTTTGTTATTTCTTGAGTTATAAATCAAAAAAGTTTCGATACTATTTATACTTCGATATATACATGATATTTTTAATCTTTTCTATATGATCGTATTGATTTTAATCGATAGCTTAAATATATAATAATAGCCATGAACCATTGTCGCGTCGATAGGTTTAGCGTGCAACATATGCAACAATGAGTGAAGAGGTTAAGATTTGTGTAATTAAGGTTATGTTAAATTAGGTTGATTAAGTTGAATTTAATAATACTGATTTAGATTGGTAATATTAATCCACCATCATACACATTGTTTACGGAATTTTTATTTGAAGGATTTGTATTAATTCTTATTTATATAGATATTATAAGCTACTAAAAAAATACTAAAAAAATAAATTTAAATTTGGATAGATTATTCAATCGTTGAAGCGTATTAGCAATCAATACTAACTAATAGTAAGAGATACATTGTCATAATTATAAAAAGAAACCTTTATTGTAAAGTCATCGACAATTTCTTGCAAATCTCAGAAATTAAAACTAATTGATGCTAACAGAAAAAAGTTGTTCAGAATGTTGAATTTAACAATGTTTTTCAAAGTCATCAAAATCAAAAAGAAGAAGAATTATTCAATTTCTTGTGATTAAATCACTGCAAGTATCTTAAAAGTATCATGATATTTTACGTTTTTAATGATTGCACTATTTAATTAATAAATTAAAATGTGAAAAATCTTCTTTGAATTTTTTTTCTAATAATATACTATATATAATAATATCAATGATAAGTATAGTGTTTATTCAAAAAAATATGTTTATTTGTATATAAACTAAACAAATGTTTAAATTAAATTTTCTTGAAAACATAATTTTACAAAAATAAATATTTCTCTTTTTTTCGATAATTTTATAAGTATATTATTTTCGATAATAAATAATAATTTTCTACTTGGTTATATCAATTATATTAATACTACATATGAAATCTTATATGATTTATAAGTTTTATTTGATATAACGATGATAACAAAAAACACAATTTTTTTTTCTTATTGTATATTTTCTTATTACTTAATAATTAACTTAACTTGTAATTGTAATTATTTGTTAAATTGAATTTACATATTTCATAAGATAATAAATTTGAAGTAATTTTAGTATATAATATATATATATATATAGTATAATATATATAGTATAATATATATAGTATAATATATATAAATATGAATTTTAATTGAAGTATATTTATTTAAAAAAATAACAGGTAAAATAAGTATTACGCTACAAAAAATAATTTAATAATTATGCAATGAATTAATGCAAGATATAGAAGCAAAATTCTTTTTTCTTATTCATGAATTCTAATAGCCAGGAAAACTTGTATTGTATAATTTAAGCTGATAAAATTAAAATTTATAATAGATTCAAAATCTTAATTTGATCGATAAATTTTTTTATTAGTGCAAATTAGTTAAAAATTATTTTAATAAATTTTAAAATTTCTGTTCAATAATCTAAGTAATACGACTTTTATTTTTAGTATTTCATATTATATAAAAATAATTTTATTATAGATATAGATGAAGAAAATTTGATTTAGATTTATGAAATATATTAAAAAAAATTATTTTGCAAGTATTGTTAATTTACATTTCACATTTTTATTACATAATTTTATTAAATAATAATTTCGTTTTAAATAAATTTACATTTACAATTAAAAATTTTAATAAATTTTAAGATTTGAGAAAAAATATTATAATTGATAATTTAAGAAAAATAATAAAATATATTTAAAAAATCAAAAAGTTAAAAATTCAAATTTTTATACCATTTCAAAAATTAATTTTATAGGATACATTATTTTTAAACATTAATTTTAAACATTAATTTTAAACATTAAATTTGGAATAGAGATTTTTTTTTAGTATTAGAAAATAAAAAAAAAATATAATTTTATAATACAATTTTTTTTCTTCCATCTTAATATGCAATAAAGCTGTTGTAAAATCTGTTATCAATTTTTATTTAAATTACTAAACTAAATATTAATTGTTATCAATGTCATATTATAATATATATTATTTTATTTTAATAATATAGTAAAATTATATTAAAATAAAAAATTATTTCATTTCATTTTGTACAAGAATAGATTTCATAATGAAATATCTTTATCTTTAAATTTGACATAAAAAGGGAATCTAATGATATATCTAAATGTTTTTGTGCAGAAACTTTAGATTAGGATTCTTTCTATTGATGAATAAAAATAATCGATGATTAAAGATATATCGATTTTAATCTATTTTTACTCAACTATTAATCATAACGATAACTTCATTAATTCCGAAATTGCTGCAAATATTTATATAATTGAGATTTGCTGAACTAATCTGAATAGAAATTTAAAAATTCAAACATAACTCAAAGATAACATTCTTTGATCGAAAAAGTGTCAATCAATTGAATGATGCAATCAAATTAGAATAGATCCATTTGAACGACTATTACAGATTACTAAAGAACAATACTTTTTTATATAAATTTAAATGAAATATAATAAAGAAAATTCATTTTTTAATTTTTTGTAGTTTCTGTTGTTCCCATAGAAAATTATTAGTATGTATGCATACATTTCATTATTAATATTATAATAAATGATATCTTGTTTATAAGGATCTTGCATATAATGAAATTTATCTGAAATTTACATACCTTTCCTACACATGGTACACCATTTTGATATGCACGACCAACATAAAGTATTTCTCCTTCTACCGTTTTTCCAGCTTCTACTGCATCTGGCGGAACATGACCATTACTCGATGGAATCCACCGAAAATCGGCAGGCATCAATATCTAAAAACAAAAAATCTTACGAATATATGTATATTTATTATTTAAACGTTTAAAAAATCTCAATTAGAGGAAATAAAATTTATTTATAATTTTTCTTTTAAAATTCTTTTAAAATTCTATATCCTATAAATAAATAGGAGATGGTAAAATTATGTTTAAATACGCTAAATATCAGCATTGACAAGCGTATGAAATATTAATTTTTGTATTTTGAATATTATAGATGTAATAATTTTTATTATAGCAAATGATAAAATCAAAATTTTTATTTTTATTTTTTTTTCTTTTTTTTTTTTTGTATTGAAAATTCAAATTTTGATTTATGTTCAATTTGGAGAATTTCTTGAAGTTCAAACACTTAATGTGTTTTTCATGAACATTGATTAAAAATTGTTAAAAAATTAACAAAATTGTACTAGTTTATACTAAACTTTTTAAAATTTTGTTAAATTAATGATTTATATTTTATTAATATAATCATTGATAATCAAAATTAATAAAAACATTTAATTCACTCAAAACTATTATTTTCATTAAGAATTATATAAATATATACATATTTATTATGCATTAGTGCATTATGCATTATTATAATTTAAATATTTTTTACATATTTAAATTATTTAAAATAAATTAAAATGTTTAATTTATTTTAAAATTATCTGAACTTCATGTATTTGAATCACCGATAACGAGATGAGTCACATATGTAAGTATATACTTATATAGTAGATTGCAAAAATGTTCTATTTTGTATTTCTTCTATTTATAATTCTATTTATATTTTATATTCCATTTACATGTTTTCTTTATAAACAACTAAGCTTTTATTGTAAAATAAAATAATAAATAAAAATGTTAAATATAAAATAAAAAATTGATATCAAATTGCTTTTTTTTTATGAATATATAATTTTTCGAATACTCAATATGAATATTTTTGAAACTAATTATATTTAAACTGCATGTCTATATTATTTACACATTGTCTAATATTGTTTACATGCTTTACAATCTAATAGTAATTAAAAGTAATTTATTTATGGTTATGCATTTCTTTGTTAAATATATAATAAACATGAATATATGAAAATTAACTAATTTCTAATTATTTATACTCACTAATTTTGATTCTTTCTAATTAATTATTTGAAGAACTATTTATTTTCACATCCCATCAATTTATTTCCCAATCAGTTTGAATAATCAATATTCTATTGTAATACAGTTTTGTAATATTTAATTTTACCTCAAATTCATGCTTCATATGCTCTTTTCCACCATAGGCGACATAAGCGACACCATGTTCCGGCTTCACCTTAGCAGGAAGCATATCGCCATTATGATAAGCACGTCCAACAACAAGTATCATACCATCCAAATCCTTGCCAACTGAGATCATTCCAGGTACGAAATAACGAGCACCCGTATACCTAACCCATTTATATCCTACAACAGGAATCAATATCAGTAAAACTGAATGTAGAAAACTGAATGTTTTCTACATTCGAATAAAATTACTTATTAGATTAAGTAAATTATCTTACGTATATATAATAATTTT